TTACCCCTTGGTCTCGAGTGTGAAAAATTGAAGGGCTATCTACCCCTTCCCCTTAGCCCTACACCATCAAGCTAAAGAGAAGTGGAACACCCCTACCCCTTCAAGGGAACGCACAAAACAAGAGGTAGGGGTAAGGGAAAGGGCTAAGGGGTAGAATTGGGATTAGGGCAAAAGCTGTTGTTATCAATCGTTTACTTCACTAAATCAGTTTAATGGTGCAAGGACTGATCCACTAGGCCCCATCGATAAATGGTTTGCGTAGAAAAAAAAAATGTCAAGCTCGTGTAAAAGTATTTTATTTTCATACTTTTTTGGCTGATGTATTTTGTAGTTTATTTTTATACACTTAAAATGGAGGTGTTTGGTATTTTGTTTTAAAATACATTTCAATATATATTTGCCCATTCCTGGCGAGAAGTAGTAATAGTAAGTCCTAGGCTGTGGCCTACAGGCCTCAGGAAATGTGTAACTAATGACAAGTGAAATAAAGTGCATGGAAATTAGCTATGGCCATCATCTTTAGAGCTGACGGAGACCGGCCTGCATGAGAACTGGTCCTGCAAGAACTACGCTATTAAACTCTACAATGTACTAAGTACACTATCAAGTATCAGAACTTCATGTTCATGTAGACTGTTATGCCATGCAATCAAATACTGCAAAATTCTTTCAGCAATCATCAACATTAATTATAAAACAAATATTGAAAGAGAGAGTACATAACTTACAATCATGTTCCTATATACAAAATTGTATAAAGTAAACATTAAAAGTCCCCAAAATCTGAAACTCCTCAGTTGCTTCATCACTGTCTCAAGTATATGAATGCTGAATGCTGCCATCTTTATGTTTGTATGCACAGTATGTACTGTGTGTATGTGTAACTGTGTAGGGAGAGATTCTTGTCTTGGCACCACATACTTCCTTCCTGTACGCTGATTCATGACTTCCTGTTATCAATCCATTAGCTTGTCATATGATCAGCAAATTGAACCGTCCTGTTGTTTTTTTGAGGCCACAGTCTTGCGTGAAGAGTGTGTAAAACACATAGTCTATGAAATTTCTGTGTACTTTGATTGACATGCAATCCAGCCGATCATAATGCCAATGTTCTGTGACCTGCCACTTTCTCCTACAAGAGTCTAAGAAAAGACTAACCATGCATAGTAGAGTTATTTTGGTCATTAACATGAAAAATGGTTCAAATGTCCTCGAATAGTACTTACACTGCAGTCAACAGCTTCCAAGAAAGGCTGGGCGTATATGTTTAATCTTTTCCTGATGCCTAGAAAAGTGTTTGAAATTGATATGTTTGTGTGGACAGCCTCACCATTGGCTGTCAATCAACAGTGCTGCAACTTGCTAAATGAATGGACTCGAAATCTGAGGACTCAACATTGATGAACAAGTCTTTTCTGTTATCAGACCGGGACAGTCAGCAATAATTTGGCAATCAATTTGTAACATCTTTTTTTTTCATTTATCTGAATTTCCCATTATTATATTTGTAGGCTATAGATTCCATCTTTATTGTGTTTAAATTTATGCGCATGTCCTGAATATATACCTTGTTTGCATATTGCAGGGATTTATGTCTGCTTTTGTCTGAAATCAGTTTGTAATTTATACAGAAATGATTCACTATTTTCCTGAGGATTGCACAAATTGTTTGGGGACCGCATGGATTATACTGAAATCTTGATGGAAAGGAAGAATTGGGAGTGGAGTTTGGGAAGGGTCCATTGTCCCAGATGTGTACATTTTCCTATAAACTGTCCAATTCTTCTGTAAAAAAAAAAAAAAGAGAAATTTTTAACAGCAGAAAAAAACTACTTTTTGATTTTTTTTCATGAAATTTAGTGTTGTTGTTTTTTTCTCTAAAACTACCTGAACATTAGAAGAAAAAAAAAATTCTGTTTTCATATTTTCCTGAAGACTGTACACATTTAGTGTACAGCAAATGTCTTTTAGGTCCCTTTTGACCTGTCGGCCATTTTGACACCACAAAAACTACTGGCACACACATGGACATTCCAACACACTGTCACGGTCGGTGAGGGGGAAAAGGAGCGAGGACTCAAGTGCAGGGCAATATGGGTATTTATTGATAAAAATAAAAAGCAAAAAAAGCAAAACAAACTCCCCCGAGGGGGGAAAATATTAATAAAACAAATAAACAAACAAACAAACTAGACTGGGCCGGCTGGCAAACTGGAGAACAGGACAAGACATGACATCTGATGACGAACTGGCACAGAACAGAAGACATGAGGAGATTATAAGCAGGAGTAAATTAACACACAACAGAAGAACATAAATAACTAATAATGGGTTAACAAGTGGGGTGGGACTAGACCAAGGGTTTTCAAAGTGTGAGGCACGCCTCCCCTGGGGGGCCGCCAGAGCATGTCAGGGGAGGCGCGGGAAAAATATAATATAATAAAAATATAATTATTAAGTTTAATTATTATATGTATTTTTTTATTATATTTAAACGTTTTAATTAAACAAAGCAAAAAAATAATAATACGTGAAATATAAGAAAACCTTTTTTACCCAGAAGGCCATAGCTGTGAATTCGCTTCTGTTTGGCAAGCCCGCCAATACAGGTATATGCCTGTTAATACAATGGGTCGGTTTCTGAGACCCCCCCGATTCAAAGCTGTAATGAAGTTCACGGCCCTTTGGCCGCCGGGAAGAAGGAGGCTGAGAACCGAAACAGTTTTAAGTGATTTATTAATGACAGCTCCGTGAGGAGCTGCCGTCAAACTGAAAGCAAAAGTAAAATATGTCCGGGTCCGGTGCTCTCTCGGCTTCCTCTGCCCTCGTTTCTCCTTTTATGATCCAGAGCTCCTTCCGAGGGATCCGAGGCAGGTGCGCACCGCAGGTGTATCCACTATTACGCGGTGGCCTCACTCTGTTCCCACGGCTCTCGGCCACGCCCCCTCGCCACAAAAGCCTTCAAGTTCAGGGCTTAAACTCAAAAGACGACGATATGTTGATTAATATTTGAGTTTAGGATTTACGTGGACAAGACCAGCTGATGAACCACGACCTTTATGTGTGGTTTGTCAAGATATTTTGGCTAATGACAGCATGAGACCCACAAAACTTCGACTGTTTTGACTGGGATGGACAGTTCTTGGATCTGTTCTATTTATATTGAACAATCATCCTAGTTTTAAAAATGTTATATTAAAATACTTGTTATTACTCTGTAAATAATTGCACTTTCATGCAAATGATGATAAAAGTGAGTTAACAGTCTGACATCTGTCTGTGTCTTTATATATACTGTCCATATATATATATATATATATATATATATATATATATATATGTGTGTGTGTGTGTGTGTGTGAGTGTGTGCGCGTGCGTGTGTGCGCGTGCGTGCGTGTTTGGGAGGAGGGGGGCGCCAATGGATAAGTTGTGTCAAAAGGGAGGCCCACTGTCTTAGACTTTGAAAAACCCTGGACTAGACAATAGATGGGAGAGCGCATGACAAGACATGCACAGGACATAAAACAGGACAAGAACATGCAGCCAATGAGAGAACTCATTAACCGAATGTTCAAGACAACACAAGCACAACACTGAAGCACACGACAAAAGCACGTTACCACAATGTAAAAAGAGCCACGTCCTTTGACAACAGAAGCAAGACACGAGCACACGATGAATGAAAACACTCACCGTGCGCTCACACACGCAGCGTTGATGTTTTATCCCACCAAAACCGAAACTTACTAGATTGAGGCACTGGGAATGAAACACCACGCTGCAGACAGACTAAAACACAAACACGAGTACAAGAGCACGCGTGTCCGAGGCACGCAGAGCCTGCGAGGCTACATCAAGTGGGAGCGTACACCCACGGCGGCGCGCGCGCACACAGAGACACACAATGACAGAAACAGGACCAGACAGAGCTAGTGTCCGAGCTCTGCCACCAAAACAAGAATTTACAAGACCAGAGTGGCAGAACCCTGACACACACACCTCTTAAACACAACAATCTATAAACAAAATCTATACCATTTGGAGTCTATAGTCTAAAATAGTGATCAAGTGAGCCAGAATTACACTGGTTCCCACTTAACTGTGTATTAATGAAATGTATGATTTATTTAGTGCGAATATATTGTGTATCAACCGCTGCTCACAACATAGGCTCATTCTGAAAGCGTAGCCCTATATACATTTTTGGAGATTGCGAATTATGTAGCCAGAAGCACATATGGCTGCTTTTGTCTTTAAAACAAACGATATGGTTCGTATGACGCTGTTCCTTTTCGCACTTACCAGCTGACCGCTACCTCCTTATGGATGCTTTCCCGCTGTTACCAGTTTGTCCAGTTAGCTTGCCATGTTTGTCGGCGGACTTGAGACGCAAAGAGTAGTTATGATGATGAGGTTCGAGTCTGGCGAAGAAAGTGGGAATGGGAAAAACCAAAGGCAAAAATAACAAGTAAAAAACAGGGTGAGAATGTGGTAAAATCTGAAAACGTGGTAAATATCAGGTGAGGACTTATTTTGGATCGCTGTTTTAAACTGTTGGTTGGATTTAGAGAAGTTGGTGGGAGGGTCAATCATTGCTTTTGAAAACACCATTGGTTGGGTTTAGGGAGAGAGGAGAGTGGGTCAGTCAGTAGATTGGTCAGTCATTCAGTCAGTCAGTAGACAGCGGCCTTTGGTTGATTTACATGGGAAAATCAGGTGCAAATAGCACTTCCGAGAGGTATGTGAGATCTCAAAAAGCATACACAGCAGCCTCTCGTGGATTTGCAAAATTAATCACTGCAAAAAATAAATAAATAAATAAATCGTAGCTCCTGGGACGTATTTGGCACACTCCAGAAATGTATGTAGTGGTACATTTTCAAAATGAGTCTGGGTTGGCTGCTCATGACAGTTCTATAAGATGACACTTTCTGAACAATTTTTATGACAGTAATTTTGATTGTCACTACATATTAATATTTCTTTCTGTTTTCTTTTAGTGACCAATGGCTAACTTAACAGACTGTCCCTCAATCGATGAATTCCGTAACCAAGTCTATTCTACAGTGTACTCTATCATTACTGTCTTTGGACTGATGGGCAATGGCTTTGCACTGTACGTGCTTCTTCGTACCTACCGTCAGACTTCAGCCTTCCACATTTACATGCTGAACTTGGGTGTATCAGACCTGCTGTGTGTCAGCACTCTGCCCCTCCGGGTGCTCTACTACATCAACAAAGGGCAATGGAACCTGGGGGACTTCCTCTGCCGGCTGAGTTCCTATGCACTCTATGTAAACCTCTACTGCAGTGTCTTCTTCATGATGGCTATGAGTTTTACCCGCTTCCTAGCGATCGTATTCCCGGTGCAAAATCTGAGGCTAGCCACAGAGAAGAAGGCATGGATAGTTTGTGTGTGCATTTGGATCTTCATTTGCATGACCAGTTCACCTTTTCTGCTCTCAGGTCAGCATACTGACCCACTGACTAATAAAACCAAGTGTTTTGAACCACCAGAAAAGCCAGGCAGCCTGGATAAACTGATCATGCTCAATTACTTTTCCCTGGTAGTGGGATTTATCATCCCCTTCCTTGTCATCTTACTGTGCTATGCTGGCATCTTGCGCACTCTACTTAGGAACACTAGTGGTGCAAACAAACAGCGTTACACTCGTAACAAAGCCATTCGATTAATCATTGTGGTGATGCTGGCTTTCTTGATCAGTTTTATGCCCTATCATATACAACGCACACTGCATCTCCACTTCAAAAGCCGCAAAAGTGCAACCTGTGAGGAAGTCAATTACATGCAGAAGTCTGTGGTCATCACGCTTTGCTTGGCTGCTGCCAACTCGTGCTTTGACCCGATGCTCTACTTCTTCTCTGGAGAGAACTTTCGACACCGTCTATCAACCTTTCGCAGGGCTTCTGGAAACGCCATTTTACCACACAAGGGCCGTCATCCTCTCCAAAGCTCCCCACCTGCGGAGGATAGTGAACTGCAGAGCTGTAATGGTTCAAACACACATGGGTAGAGGAAATGAACATGTGTTAAATATAAAGACGAAATTAAGCTTATTCTTCAAAGCAGTTTTAAGAAGGTGAAGAAGGAAAAACAATGAAGAAAATCCTATTTACTCCATTCCAGTATTAAAAGTAAAAACTACTCCGCAGATTTTGTGCATGACTTCGATGAAGGATGGGTATCTATTATTAATTCATTATTATATAAACTGACTCCAGTCTTTAGACAATGTGTTTCCAATATGTAAAACATGTTCTTATGACAGCTTTTTGAGATATATAATAATGTTAATAAATGTTGTAACTTCGTGTAAATACTGTATGTTGAAAATAAATGACCTATTATTATGTTCTCATCTGAAATCAACTTCGAAAGGGGCATAAAAGAAAGGAACAAAAGCAATTTATCAGGGAGCCAAAAAAGTTTGTTGTATACAATGCAGTTTTTTATAAATATATTAGTTATCAACTTTTTGTGAGTGGAAATGTGTTACTATATTTGCCATTAAAAACATTTTATATTGTATTTTTAATAATGATAACAGGACCTCCATGAGTGGTTGTTATGTATTATTGGAAGTGTTGATGTAAATTATTTAACATGTAAACTATTGGATTCTGCATGCATGATGTTTTTCTTTGGTTTAGCCCATTATTTATCAGGGGTCCACAGCGGAATGAACCACCCATTCAAGATGTGCTCATTGTAAAACATGTTCTTATATCAGAGTTTTCATAATGTATTAATGTTCAATTATATCACAATGTATTGTAAATACCTTGTTTTGAAATATATTACAAATGTAAAATTTCAAACTTCTAACTTGACTTAGAGAAACAAAAGCTACTCAGCAATATTCCGTATACATTCCTAATACAAAGAGCTATGATTATTTGACAATTATTTTAGGAAGTAAGAGAGAGAAGGTGTTTTGGAAAATAGTTAATTTTCTTTTGGCTTAGTCCAGGCGTGTCCAAACTCTGTCCTGAATGGGAGGTGTCCTGCTGAGCTTAGCTCCAACCTGCTTCAACACACCTGCTAGGAAGTTTCTAGTACAGGCATGTTCAAACTCGGTCCTGGAGGGCCGGTGTCCTGCAAAGTTTAGTTCCAACCCCAATCAGACACACCTGGGCTAGCTAATCAAGCCCTTACTAGACTTTCTAGAAACATCCTTGCAGGTGTGTTGAGGCAAGTTGGAGCTAAAATCTGCCGGACACCAGCCCTCCAGGACCAAGTTTGGACACCCCTGTTGTAGTATATCTAGTAAGAGCTTGATTAGCTTATTCAGGGGTGTTTGATTAGGGTTGGAGCTAAACTCTCCAGGACACTGGCCCTCCAGGATGGACACCCCTGGCTTAGTCTCTTTTTTTATCAGAGGTCACCACAGCGGAATGAACCACCAACTTATCCAGCACATGCTCTACACCAGGGGTCACCAAACTTGTTCCTGTAGGGCCGGTGTCCTGCAGAATTTAGCTCCAACCCTAATCAAACACACCTGAACATCCAATCATGGTCTTACTCGGTATACTTGAAACATCCAGGCAGGTGTGTTGAGGCAAGCTGGAGCTAAACCCTGCAGGGACACCGGCCCTCCAGGACCAGGATTGGTGACCCCTGCTCTACACAGTGAATGCCCTTCCAGGCACAATCCAGTACTGGGAATACACTCTCATTCACACAGACTACGGCCAATTTAGCAACTCCCCTATAGCACATGTATTTGGACTATGGGGGAAATTGGAGCACGCAGAGGAAACCCTTGCTAACACGGGGAGAACATGTAAACTCCACACAGAAATGCCAACTGGCCCAGCTGGGACTTGAACCAGTTACTTTCTTGCTGTGATGCGCCAGTGCTAACCACTGAGCCACCGTGTCACCTTGGGGAATAGTTGAAAAAGCCAAAAGTTTAGTAGAATGTGCTTATAGGTTTTTTATTTTTATATTAAAAATTAACTTATTCTCTTTTAAATCATTTAGTCCCAATAAAAATATTGTGATTTTTGTGGCTGCATTTGATTGTCTGCATAATTTATATTAGTTACTTATGCCCTTCACCCATTCCGAGGTATGGGGCGCCAAAGGTCAATCTCCAGTGGTATCTGTCCTGGGCTTTCTTCTTGTCTCCAGGTGTAACCCATCCTTTAAGCCCTGCCTGTCCCTACGTCGCAACACCAGGTGTTTCTTGGACAGCCTCTTCTCCGCTTCCTTTGGGGGTGCTACTGGTCAAAAGAAGGATATTTGGCTCAACAACTTCCTTTTGGCTTTCACCATCTAGCATCATGCATTTATGGGTTGTCGGAGGTCCTTCATCTTCAAGGAATTTAGGGTGCTTTAACATCTGTATTTCGGTTCATTTGTTCCAGACTAAGGACAACAAATGATACATTGTAGCATTTTTTCTTCTGGTTTTGGGTCTTTTTTACCCCTCACTGATTGCTTTGGTCCGAACCAGTTAAAAAGAACCAAAATGCAGTCATGTGACAAAATCTACATCACTCATTGGGCAGTTGTTATTGAACATATTTTCAAAACTGCTTCAGTTGGACAGAATTAACGTGCAGGAAAATGCCAATAGAACTCCAGCAAGTAAACAAACTGGTAGACACAAAATGGCACTTTTTTCACACCTGTGGATCGATTCTTTTGTTCCGAAACAGGGATTAAAATTGCTACATTGTTGCATTTTGTACTCTGAGCAGTTCGCCTTCACACGGCAAAGTTTCTAAATGGACCAAAAGAGCTAAAACAAATCACGTGCGAGAAAACTCTTCTCACACTGGTTAGAGTTTCATGATTTTTGATTATTTTTTTATTTATTTGTTTAAAGTAATGATCATGCATTATGCGTCCTTATTTTAATTTATGATGGAGCAGTAAGGCATTAAGGCATCATTTTGAATGGTGAAAACCAAAGACATCACCAAATATAAATCAGAGATAAGACTTTCTCATACATAGATACACAAGCGTTGGCATATGCATTATAGGCTTTTCATAATAGAGAGCAATAACAGATAAACCAAGACTGCATTTCGGTCAATTTTCCAAATGGATAAACAGCTCTTTTTAATAGTTAGCATGCTTAACTTTCATATTTGACATGAAACGAACATTTACCGGTAGGAATGACGTCCCGCCCTACTCATAATTCTTTCTTCATATAGCCATATATGCCTATTCCATATCCATAATACACTGTGATATAGCTTGGCTCGGATCGTATTGCTTTTTCACTACAATCATTCCTTTCAATCAAGCTTAGAGCACCTCATTCAGGCGATCTCGGACCGATTGTTTTGGCTCGGATCCGAGTGTGATTGTTTGATTCACATAGGCAAAATGAACTGCGCTAACTTGGGAAACGTGCCAGGTTCTGAAACAAAAGGTATAAAAGCACCCTTAGTATAATATATAGTTTGTATACAGTACATCACTTTAGACAAACTAAACTTTTTGAGAATGAAGCACGGCTGCGGCTGTAAAACAATGTTTTAATGCATTGCAAACGGTGAAGGTGCATCCCAAGTCACTTCAGGAGAGTGGTCATCTTATGAAAATATTACCAACAATACATCAGGTAATGTTTCTCTCTCTCTGTTTAAAGCTGTTGGTAAAGTGCTGTCAACAAATATTTTTCCTCCACATCCCATAATGCACAGCGCATCGGCCTACGGCAGCTGGATTAGTCCAAAAAGGCGCAGTACTTTTGAGACACTGCTCGCTGCAGAGCCATTTGAGCAGAGCTGAGCTCCAGCGAGGGGGAGCATGAGCTCTCGCTCCTCCTCCTATAAGCTGTTTTAATGCGTACACCCACCCCAACCCTAACCCTACCACCAGTGACATCACTCGTAGAAGAAGTGCAAGAAAGGAGGAGCTCAAGCTCCCCCTCGCTGGAGCTCAGCTCTGCCCAAATGGCTCTGCAGTGAGCACCACTTGGTACTTTTTGCGGTTGGGTCTGTACTAGTTCAGGGTCCTGTTTCAGAAAGGAGGTTAACTGAAAACTCAGAGTACTTTAACCCTGAAATGAGAGAAACTCTGGGTTTTCCGTTTCAAAATGGCAGGTTTGTTAAACTGGAGAAAGCAGGGTAAGTCAAGCCTGTTTCTGAAAGAGAGGTAACTTTAACTTAAAGTCAGTTACTGTGGTAACTTACTCTGTGAATCTAACCTGGTCAGAAGCAGGTTTTATTCTCTAAACTCAGAGTTTCTGTCGGTCTCCTCCCCTTTTTTAAAGATGAAGCGTATTTCTCGCCTTAGCCTTACGTTTCCACCCACCTATTTTAATGCTCATTTTGGATACGTGCATAAAAACGATTGATAGAAATGTCGTGATGCACATAACTTTTTAAAATATGCATAAAAAACGCGCATAACTGAGTAGGATAAACTTTTGTTCGATAGAAAATGTGCGCATAAACTACGATGGAAACACTTTTACTGAACAAATTACAGTATGTACATTAAAAAAAAGATCATGATCATATGATAATGAAAATGTGTGTAAATGGACAAACCAGCAGGCTGGGCACACTGTAACATGTCTTAAATATTGTTTTAGTCATTCTAAAATGCCTGAACTGTTTCAGTATTAGTGTATATTATTAATTACCTCCGAACGTCTGGTGCGTGTCAAGAGTCTCCACGTCTCATGGCTTCAGACGCCCCCACGTGTTCATTGTGTTTCAGCATTGTCTTCTGACATCGAGGCGCAAGTACATTAATTAGGCTAAATAAAGAATTAATTGACGCAGCGTCTTCTACCACAGTAAATTCTGTTTTTACTGTTGATATTTGGTGCCAGTTTAATCAGGAAGTGACAATTTTTTTCTCTTTGACTCGTTGGATGGAATTTTATTCGCATCTTTTATGCAATATTCCAGTTTTGCACATAAATTTATATAATATATTTGGATGGAAACATAGCTATTGCCTACATTTTAGTCACACACAGAAGAACTGTACTAGAATGGCTAATGCCATTCTAAATAAATAATTAAATTGAATTCACCTTCGATATGCACTGTAACTAGATTAATGGGATTATTATTCTTTCTAAAAATTATTTTTAGTACTGCTTACCTTCTAAATGTTATATTAACCTTTATCACTTGATCAATAAAAAAGGCAGACACACAAGTGCACTGTTAAATCATTTAAAAACTAATAAATGTATAAAAGAAAGTTTAGAAAAAAAATATATAAACGTCACAAATTACATTACTTATTTTATTATACTTAAATATTTAAATACTTAAAAAGTTAAATTAGGCATTAACTTGAGCAGCTGTTTTCCCACGCTAACTGGTTGATGGTTGCTTCTTTTCAAATATATACACTCATATTTGCTATAACTTTGCATGAGAACATCAAGTTCAGCTGGAGAAAGAAATGGTGATCTCTTTTATAAGATATTGCCATAGTCACTCGTAATGTCTGCGCTCCATTGATAATGCCTTTTTAAAGTC